AGAAGTATTTCTTGAATTCTATTGCTTTTTCTATGATTCAACAGGTGTTGACAATTTGATCTATCGTTCCTCTGCCTTTTCTGAATCCACCTTGGACATCTGGAATTTCTCCATTCATGTACTGTTGAAGCCTACCTTGGAGGAATTTGAATGTTACCTTGCTAACATGTGAAATATGTGCAATCATGTGGTAGTTGAACATTCTTTGGCATAGCCCTTCTTTGGGATTGGAATGAAAACTGACCTTTTCCAGTATTTTTTTAATATTTAAAATTTTATTTTTACAGTGATGTTTATAACTAATGGAAGGTCACACATGATTTTGAATCCAAACTCCTCATTGCTAGTTTATCTCTTTCACTAAGCACTTCAAGAATGAACAAATAATGATGCTGGTAGTGATGAGGATGCCAAATTGCCATCTCTAAATTCAGAAATCTGTCAATTCTATTATTCAATCTGCTTTTTGTGTTTGACCTAGTTGGGGATCATAAAGTGTTCATAAGTTCATTTGAGGGTGAAAACAGTGAAAAGAAATCTGGGCCCATATTTGCATCTGAGAACACTACACTTAATTTTTTGGATACTCTTTTGAATATGGAAAAATATAACCCATGAGTCATCAAAGAAAATAGAAGATTTACTTGCTAGAATCAAATTGCTAGCTGAGTCATTTGAAAAATGAGTGTTATGCTTTCATAAACATGGATGTGGCCTGATCCCATAGTAGAACGGATTTTTCTTTTTTATGAGTCAAATGAAACAGCAACAGAGAACTATAAAAACAATAAATATTGACTATCAATCCCTTAACTCATGAGACACTACTAAAAAATCTGGGATTTTCTCTCTCTAGAGGAAGGCATTTTCATGGTGGTATTAACTGTGGAATTTATGATGCTTTCACTAGAGAAAGAACTGTGAGCTAATTCAATAACTAGGTTGCTTGGATTACTAACTGATTCCTGTACATAACTATTAGGTATGTCACCTGCCTCAGCTTTCTTTTTTTCTCAGTGATATCTCCTTCCTTCCACTAAACTCTCCCTTAGCTAACATAAGGATTTATATGTTTTTTCAGTTCAGTCACTCAGTCATGTCCGACTCTTTGCCACCCTATGGACTGAAGCATGCCAAGCTTCCCTGTCCATCACCAGCTCCTGGAGCTTGCTCAAACTCATATCCATTGAGTTGGTGATGCTATCCAACCAACTCATCCTCTGACATCCCATTCTCCTCCTGCCTTCAATCTTTCCTATCATTAGGGTCTTTTTCCAATGAGTTAGCTCTTTGCATCAGGTGGTCAGAATATTGGAGCTTCAGCTTCAGCATCAATCCTTCTGATGAATATTCAGGGTTGATTTCCTTCAGGATTGACTGGTTTGATCTCCTTGCAGTCCAAGGGACTCTCGAGAGTCTTCTCCAACACCACATTCAAAAGCATCAATTCTTAGGCTCTCAGCTTTCTTTATAGTCCAACTCTCACATCCATACATGGCCACTGGTAAAACTATAGCCTTGACTAGACGGACCTTTGTTGGCAAAGTAATGTCTCTGCTTTGTAATATGCTGTCTAGGTTGGTCATAACTTTCCTTCCAAGGAGTAAGCATCTTTTAATTTCATGGCTGCAGTCACCATCTGCAGTGATTTTGGAGCCCCCCAAAATAAAATCAGCCACTGTTTCCCCATCTATTTGCCATGAAGTGATGGGACCAGATGCTATGATCTTAGTTTTCTGAATGTTGAGCTTTAAGCCAACTTTTTCACTCTCCTCTTTCACTTTGATCAAGAGGCTCTTTAGTTCTTCTTCTCTTTCTGCCATAAGGGTGGTGTCATCTGCATGTCTGAGGTTATTGATATTTCTCCTGGCAATCTTGATGCCAGCTTGTGCTTCCTCCAGCCCAGCGTTTCTCTTACTGTACTTGATTGCTTTTTCAACCCTGTGCCTATTCTATCAAACTTAGAGCAGATATTTTCAGTTTATGAAGCTTCAGTAGGAAAATCAGATCTCTAGTGTTTCTACCTTTAGTTACTTTGTCAAAATGAAGAGATGCATTGGATATAATCACTATTAGTTGGACTTTTACCTGTAACTTTAATTCAGTTAGAAGTTTTAACATGAATATGACAGCCATACCCTTGAGATCATCTTAGCCTGACAGCAGTTCTTAACCAGTACTATCCAGTATTAAGAAGCAATAACCTCTTCCGGCTTTGTAAGATCCCAAATTTCCAAGATTCTAATACTTTTTGTTTCTGCTTTCAAAGAAGATAATAATGTCTGAGCTCAGTTTTTTAAACTGTATTGTCAAATGTATCACTACTGTTATTCACTTATAATCCTCTCAGCCTAGAGTTACAAAATGCTCATATATGTAATCTATTTTCTAAGTATTCACATGAAATGGTTTGTGAAATATTTTGCCACTTCTTAGCATGTTTTCTAGGAACCAGTCATGGTTTTCTTGCCACTCATTGCAACTAATCAAATATTAAGCCAATATTACCTATTTTAGTTATTTGGTTTTGGCAGACTCCACCTGAAAAGACCAATTCTAAGGTGTCTAGTGAAGGAAGTTTAGGCTATGTTGCAATAACAGAACTCTCAAACCTCAGAGACCTGATGAAAATTTTTATTTGTTTTCGTTTTTAGATTCTGCTCTATATCCAGTGCTCATAATAGTGACAAAGTTGTCACAGGCCAGCAGAAGCTCTTTCTTGACCCAAAATAGCATAGGAACACTGCAGAGTCTTGAACTGGTGAGTCAGTGCTCTCATCTAGAAACAACACTTCATTTCCACAATACTTTTTTGGTCAAAAAGTTCACATGACAATATACTACATCAAAGGGAGAAGGGAACCCTACAAAAACTACATTTCTTGGAATCCTATAAGAAATGGAAGGTTAAAAGTAGAGCCTTAATTCCTATTTCACTATCTCTATGCTACTTACAAGATATATATCTAAACTCTGATGATATAGTACAAATTAAAAGTAAAATTTAGAAGATTATGCCATGAAATACAAGTGATAATAAGCTAATATAATTATTTTAATATCAAAGTAGACTTTAAAACTTAAAAAAAAAACAAAGAAACCACTAGAGCAGACACTGTCAGTTCATACAGCAAGAGGTTAAATTTAGTGTGCAGATAGTACAATTCTACCATTAAATAGCTTAGCATCAAAATATGTAAAGCAAAAATTGACAACATTTCAAACAGAAATTGAAAAATCCGTACCCAGAGTATAATAATTTAACTTTAAATCTCAATAAATTATGGAATAAGAAGACAAAATTTTAAAAAAGATAAATAGGATTTAAACAACATGATTAACAAATCAAGTCAATGGATGTATGAAACAATTTACCCAAAACTACACATACACATTATTTTAAGGAAAAACAAAACATTTACTGAAACTGGCCATCTACATACTGTGAAACAAATTGCAACAGATGTCATGACTTACCAACCTATGAAGTATAATATTTTATTTTAATTCAATTTTGATAGAAATAATGAAAAGTTTAAAAATTCCATGTAAATGGAAATTTAAACATACATTAAAAAATATTTTATGGGTTTAAGAAAAGTCACAATGACAGTGTTATTCAGTCACTAAGTTGTGTCCGACTCTTTGTGACCCAATGGACTGCAGCATGCCAGGCTTCCATGTCCTTCACTATCTCCCAGAGTTTGCTCAAATTCCTGTCCATTGAATCAGTGATGCTATCGAACCATCTCATCCTCTGTTACCTCCTCCTGCCCTCAGTCCCTGCCAACAAAAGGGTCTTTTCCAATGAGTCAGCTCTTTGCATCAGGTGACCAAAGTATTGCAGCTTCCACTTCAGCATCAGTCCTTCCAATGAATAATCAGGGTTGATTTCCTTTAGAATTGACTGGTTTGATTTCCTTGCAGTCCAAGGAACTTTCAAGAGTCTTCTCCAGGACCACAGTTTGAAAACATCAATTCTTTGGTGCTCAGCCTTCTTTATGGTCCAGATCTCACATCCATACATGACTACTGGAAAAAACATTGCTTTGATTAGACAGACCTTTGTTGGCAAAGTGATGTCTCTGCTTTTTAATACACTGCCTAGGTTTGTTATAGCTTTTTTATTGTTATAGTTTGTTATTCAATAACAAAGTTGTCTTCTTTCTCTACTACCTTGTGGAGAGATTTTCCAGGTTGGGAAGAGATTTTGCTTTTGATTGTATTTCCCCAGCAGTTGATAAGCCTTTGTCCTGTGCCCTGCAATCCCATTCCCTCCTACAAGCTGTTTCTGGTCAGTGACTGAACAGAGCAGAGATTAATTGGCAGTCCTGCTCCCAGGAGGCTCAAGATCCCTCTGGTGTGCACCATTGCCTTGACACTGCCCACCGGCCTTCTTAGAACTTTCTTAGAACTTGTTAAGATTGTTTCCTAAGACTTTTCTTTTTTCATTCCCTCTCCCTCCCCAAGAATCAGACTTACATGTTAGTATAACAGTTCCCCAGCCACCTTCTATTGTCCAGGCACTTTCCTCAGTAATGCCCTGTTTCTCAGAGCATTCAGACCGAGATAAGACATTTTCTAGATTGGAGTTTAGTGTTTCTGGCTTATAACTGAGCTGAATGAATCAAAAAAGTGTCTAAATCCTAAGGAAAAAAATATTTAAAAATTGATCTCTATCTTGTGTGTTAGCAAACCAGGATTCAAATTCTAATGCATAGCTTTACATGGAAATTATAGGCAGTGTTACAGCAGTGGTGACACACACATAATATTTGCCTTGAAAATCACTAGCTGAGATCTTGAGAGGATTAAGGGTGGTTTCCCAAAGAAAACTAAGACTTTGGGAGTATCTTGAAGGCTTTTCTTTTCTTGCCAGTGAATAGTAAAGTGCAGGGACAAGGAACTTATTGAACATTAGAGCTTTGGATGCATAAATCTGTAACACCTCATTTATAAGTCAGTGGAGTACTGAAGGCAGAGATTTCCTATCAGTAGGCATGGAAGGAACATTGAACAATATACTTATGATCATTTCTGCTGGAGAATTCTTACTGGGTATTTTGGGAAATGGATTCATTGTTCTGGTTAACTGTATTGATTGGATCAGGAGCAGGAAGTTCTCTCTGATTGACTTTATTCTCACCTGCTTGGCTACTTCCAGAATATTTGTGCTGTGCTTGATGATTTCAAGTGCAGGTTTATATGTCATCTCTGAGGAAACATGGTACAACAAGAATGTCCTGATAAATCTGGGGTTCCTCTGGACAGGATCCAATTATTTTTCCATAGCCTGCACCACTTGCGTCAGTGTCTTCTATCTCCTCAAAATAGCCAACTTTTCTAATTTCCTTTTCCTCTGGATGAAATGGAGAATTCACAAGGTGCTTCTCATTATTGCACTGGGGGCTGTCTTCTCTTTATGCTTGTGCCTTCTTCACAAGGATACGTTAGTTGAACTCCTGCTCCAAAACCAGGTAAACAGTGAAAAAAATGTGACATTGGACTTTCTAATGATAAAATACAATCTGTTCCTTACCATAATGTTCCTCATCCCCTTTGTAGTGTCCCTGGCCTCCTTTCTCCTTTTAATCCTCTCCTTATGTGGGCACCTCAGGCGTATGAAGGGTGCGGACTGTAGCACGGAGGCCCACATGAGAGCCTTGAAGTCTATGGTTTCATTCCTCCTCCTCTTCGTTATATACTATTTGGGCAATCTTGTGACAGTGTGGGCCAATCACATTCTAGGTAGTTTTGTGGCAAAGATTTTTGTGAACATCCTATTATTTTTATGTCCTTCCGGCCATTCTTTTCTTCTGATTTTATGGAACAGCAAACTGAAACAGGCTTCACTCTGTGTCCTAAGGAAGCTGAAGGGTCCATGAATCTAAGAAAACCTCCTCTTCCAAAAATAAGCCTGAAGCGATGATTATCTTCTCAAGAATGAAGACAACAAACAGAACTTCATATATGTGTTTTTATTTTATCCTGACTCTTTATATTCTATTCTGATAGGTGATTGAGCCTTATTGAAAATATCTTCTTGGGAGTTCCCTTGGTAGCTCACTGGTTAGGATTCTGGACTTTCGCTGTGGCCTGGATTCAGTCCCAGGTTGGATCCTGAAAGCTGCACTGAAGGACTTTAAGCCTGGCCAGCTGCAGTCCATGGGGTCACAAAGAGTTGGACACAACTGAGTGACTGAACAACAAATGACAGGAAAAAAAATCTTCCTGGAAAATGCCAAAAGAAAAGGATTTTGCTGTGTTTCCTTCAAGATGGTGATGATATAGCTAATAGTAAAATTATGCATTTTATGTTAGGCAAAATATTAATCTCACTTAATTTGCACTATATTGATTTCATAAAAGCATATGTTTATATAAAGAATAGCCATAAATATGTATTAATGTACATATATTTACATTTGTAAAGATATATAGAGATTTAATTCCTAAGGAAAGGTAATTATTTTAACTTTTCATTTAAAAACAGAAAGGAGCACCAAAATAAGGAGAGTAATTATGTTCAGGAATATGTTGAAATTTTAATTAAAAATAAAAGCTGAATATCTGAATACAAAAATAAAGTTGTTTTAAAGCCTCAGGTCATTAGTGAGTACTTCTTGATACAAGCCATGACTTGTTAATATTTCAAATAAAACGCATCAAGGAGCAATTAAGTGTTTCAACAATACAAAAGTGGATTAACTAGTAGACTTAGAACTTGGAATATACCATCTGATTAATGATATATAATGATTAGTGAGATCATCTAAAGCTATAGAAGATAAAAGGAATGATATATGTCAGAAAATGCAAGGATATCCAGGGGATGGCGATATTCCAAATGGCATTTCATGCAAATCACTTAACAAGGAAACAAATTCCTCAATGGCAACCACAGGTGGCTCAGTGGTAACAAATCTGCTGACCAATGCAGGAGACACAGGAGACATGGGTTTGATCCCTGGGTTAAAAAGATCACCTGGAGTAGGAAATGGCAATCCACTCTAGTATTCTTGCCTAGAAAATCCCATGGACCAAGGAGCCTGCTGGGCTGTGGTCCATGGGGTTGCAGATAGCCAGACATGATTGAGCAACTGAGCACACACACATAGATTAAAGATTAAGATTTAGTAAAGAATGAGTGCACTAAAAACAAAAATACAAACAAGGGTCAGGGGGCAATTAACACATATGGCAAAAGAAAAATGACAAAACAACACCATCCCAGAGAACTGTTGAATATCAAGCTGACTTTGACAAACACCTGGGATAAGTTCTCAAGCAGGAGGATATTGCATGTAAGCAGGAAAATGTTTCAATGATTAATACTAAAGAATCACTTGATAAGTTGTCAACACTATTCCAATACATTTTTTAAAAGCAAAAATATAAAAACCCAATTGGTAAAATAAAAGCTAAAATAGAGAAAAATATTTAGACTCCGTAGACCCCAAACTATTTCTGTTTTTCTGATGCACTCAGATTTAATTTTCAATATTTCCTTCAATTACTTATTGGTTCCATGATCCTCTCTTCCTCCTCTCTCTCTCATAATGTAGGATACTCTGATGCTTTGTTATTTTGATATTCTCACCAATTGCCCAGCATGATTTTAAACCAAAAGCATAGCACTTAAAAAGCATACTTGCTTACCAGGAAAGATGATCTTTCTCATCTTCTTGGTATTTAGCAAGTATTTTTTGGATGGGTAGATGAACAGATTCAAAATATGTTCAAAATATCACTAAGACATTGGGAATTTTGATGAGATATAAGAACAGTGCTTGGAAAGAAAGGTATTTATTTGCAGCTAGATTACAACTATAAAAGCTCTGGTAGCAAGTCTCAGAGACATAAAAAACCCCAAGAGAATGTAATGACTATTTGGAAATTATGACAACTCATTATTGTGGCTAATGTATTAACAGTGGAGGTGACAAATAGACTTGAGGGATTAGATCTGGTAAGGGCAGACTGCCTGAAGAACTGTGGACAGAGGTTTGTAACGTTGTACAGGAGATGGTGACCAAAACCATCCCCCAGAAAAAGAAATACAAGAAGGCAAAGTGGTTGTCTGAGGAGGTCTTACAAATAGCTGAGAAAAGAAGATAAGCTAAAGGCAAAGGAAAAAGGGAAAGTTTTACTCAACTAAATGCAAAATTTCAGAGGCTACTAAGGAGAGATCAGAAAGCCTTCTTAAGTGAACAATGCAAAGAAACAGAGGAAAGCAATAAATGGAAAAGACTAGAGATTTCTTCAAGAAAACTGGAGATACCAAGGGAACATTCCACGCAAAGATGGGCACAATAGAGAACAGAAATGCAAGGACCTTGCAGAAGCAGAACAGGTGGCAAGAATATACAGAACTGTACAGAAAAAGTCTTAATGGCCAGGATAACCATGATGGTGTGTTCAACTTACCTAGAGTCAAACATCCTAGAATGTGAAGTCAAGTGGGCCTTAGGAAACATTACTGCGAACAAAGATAGTGGAGGTGATGGAATTCCAGCTGAGTTATTTAAAATCTTAAAAGATGATTCTGTTGAAAGTGCTGCGCTCAACATGCCAGCAAATTTGGAAAACTCAGCAGTGGTCACAGGACTGGAAAAGGTCAGTTTTCATTCCAATCCCAAAGAATGGCGGTGCCAAAGAATGTTCCAATTACCATACAATTGCACTCATTTCACATGCTAGCAAGATTATGCTTAAAATCCTTCAAACTAAGGTTTCAGCACTATGTGAACTGAGAATGTCCATATGTGCAAACTGGATTCAGAAAAAGCAGAGGAACCAGAGATCAAATTGCCAACATCTTCTGGATCATAGAAAAAGCAAGATCATTAAAAAACAATCTGCTGGATCATTAAAAAAACAATCTGCTTCATTGACTACATTAAAACCTTTGACTATGTCAATCACAACAAACTATGGAAAATTCTTCAAGTGGTAGGAATACCAAACCACCACCTTACCTGTCTCCTGAAAAACTTGTATGCAGGTCAAGAAGCAACAGTTAGAACTAGACATGGAACAAAGGACCTGTTCAAAATTGGGAAAGGAATACGTCAAGACTTTATAGTGTTACCCTGCTTACTTAACTTATATATTAATCATGTGAAATGCCAGGCTGGATGACGAACAAGCTAGAATCAAGATTGCCACAAGAAACATCAACAATGTCAGGTATGCAGATGATACCACTTTAATGACAGAAAGGGAAGAGGAACTAAAGAGTCTTTAGATGAAGATGAAAGAAGAGAGTGAAAAAATCTGGCTTAAAACTCAATATTAAAAAAACTAAGATCACGGCATCTGGTCCCATCACTTCATGGCAAATAGATGGAGAAAAAGTGGAAACAGTGACAGATTTTCTTTTCTTGGACTCCCAAATCACTGTGGACAGTGACTGCAACCACAAAATTAAAAGGCGCTTGCTCCTTGGAAGAAACGCTATGACAAACCTAGAAAACTTAATAAAAAGCAGAGACATCACTTTGCTGGCAAAGGTCCATATAGTCGAAGCTATGGTTTTTCCAGTAGTCATGTACAGATGTGAGAGTTGGACCATAAGGAAGGCTGAGTGCCAAAGAATTGATGTTTTTGGACTGTGGTGTTGGAGAAGATGCTTGAGAGACCCTTGGACAGCAAGGAGATCAAACCAGTTATTCCAAAGGAAATCAATCCTGAATATTCATCAGAAGGACTGATCCTGAAGTGGAAGCTGCTACATTTTGGCCACCTGATGGGAAGAGCCAAATCATTGGAAAAGATCCTGATGCTGGGAAAGATTGAGGGCAGAGGAGAAGGGGTCAGCAGAGAATGAGATAGTTGGATGGCATCACTGACTCAATGGACATGAAGTTTGATCAAACTCAGGGAGCTAGGGAAGGACAGGGAAACCTGGTGTTCTGCAGTCCATGGGGTCCTAGGAGTCAGACACAACTTAGCAACTGAACAACAAAAACAGCAGCAACATGACCTAAAAGTGTGCTGGGGAAATAATGAGCATAGAATGAACTGGCATGTTAAATTTTTACCACACAACCTTAACAGATCCCTAGAGGTGCAGTTGCAACTCTCATTAGAACCAGATTATTTCTTGATCATGTACCACGGGTGGTCTCAAATAAATAAATGAATAAGAGTGAAAGCACAGTACTTAGAAAATAG